TGATTAATTTGACCAAACTAAAACAAGGTGCAATATCTTGTCAATTTGTGCACGGATAAGAATAGGGCTATGTTTGGAACCATTTTTGTTTTGTTTTCATTGTTTCCCCAAAACAAAATGGGATTTATTACACTTTTCATATCATTTTCTCAAAACAATTTCAAAAGTTTCTCTCTCCTTCAGACATGATGTGACTGCTACAGTAAAATGATTTGACTTCTACAGTAAAAAATGTCTTCACTAAAAAACAAATAAACATCACTTCATCTTTCAATTTTTTTCTTCAAAAATACTTCTTTCTAACACCTTTAAACATGATTTGACTACTACAGTGTATTTTGTCTCCTTCCAAAATACAAACAAACATTACTTTCATTCTCAAATTATTCCCCCAAAATATATTTTCTCAAAATGAAATCAAAATAAGATCCAAAACGCTTCCAAACATTGCCTAGATATTTATTTATCATTGAAGAATGTAACCTTCTAGAAGACGGTCTATTCTAGAATAAAATCAGAGCATGTACTTTTGTCATTTTGTAATTATGATTTATGCATGGCCTGCATTTGGATGTCCCTTATCCTCTCACCACTCACCTTCGTGTGGGAAAGCCGAAAATGACGCAAACATCACTTGCTTTTTTGCAATTTCTTCTTACTCGTATTTATTGAAAAAAAAAAAAAAAAAAAAATCTATAAGAAATTAAAATTTCAAAAAACTGTCCCGGATGACCTAACTTGGCCCAAGTGAGTCTGTGTCAATTGACCCAAAATCGAATACTCCTGATTAGGAGTGGGCATTCGGGTCGGGTTATTCGGGTATTACCCGACCCGGTCGGGTATTACCCGACCGAATCGGGTAATTTTTTACGTAACCGGGTTTTTCCCGGGTTCGGGTACCCGGTGCTCCCAAACCGGGTCGGGTCCGGGTATTAGAAATCCTACCCGGGTACCCGACCGGGTACCCGGTTGAATTTTTTTTTTTATATATATGTCTATTATATATGTATATCAGTGTATATGTATATCAGTATGATATGTATATCAGTATATCAGATTATCAGTATATTATATATATATATATGTATATCTTAAATAAAATTAGTTACTTTTATTTTTCTAAAAAAAAAAAAAAAAAAAAAAAAAAAAAAAAAAAAAGAGGAAAATAGCAAAACCCGAACCCGACCCGAGATAACCGGGTACCCGGCAACCGGGTACCCGGTTATTTCGGGTCGGGTTCGGGTAATTTTTTTTTTGCAAAAAACCCGAATAACCCGACCCGAATAACCCGAATAACCCGACCCGACCCGAATGCCCACCCCTACTCCTGATAACAGTTGCTAGGTCGAGTTTGTTACACATGAGTAGCCTAGTGTGGTTTACATTTCTTGTATGGTTTCAAAGTTATTATACTAGAGTGTAAATTTACCCGGTACATATATATGATTGGTTGTAGGTTCCTTAACAGCAAAAAGAAAAAACAAAAAAAATTATCTTACCAAAAAGAATCAAAACTTCAATAAATAGAAATAAATATTATATTATTTAACATTTTTTTTTTGAACCACAATTTATCCGACATCTTTGTTTGACTGACTGCCACGATAAAAATGTTCATTTTCAAAATAAAAACAAATATTACTTCTTTCTTCTCATTTTTTTTATCCAATATTTTCAATATCTATTTTTTAAACATCTAGAACACAAGGAAAATCAGGATTAATGTTGAAGCACATGAATTGTTCCACACCACATGTTACAATATTAGAGTAAAATCCATCCGGGAAGTTTTGCTAATTTTATTTCTCAAATTATTATTATACCTCACACAATAGAAAGAATTTTATTTCATATTTGATATACTTATTATTTTTTATGATTTGATCACATATATTTTCAAAATATTTGCATTTCTAAATTTTTAAATGAAAGAAAAATCGTAGGGATGGTTAGGGAGCTAGCTCGGTTTATGAATTTGTATTTTTTTGTTTTGTAACAATTTTGAGTTAACTCGGTTTTTAGACATATATATAAAACCTAGTTCAAGGACATACGATGCTCATTTCGTATATAAACCATATACGAGTGTTACAAATTTCCGATATAGGACAACTAGAAAAAACATTAATAATAATCTTAAATCTATGTCTCCAGGGCCGTTCCTGAGATTTTGGTGGCCCTAGGCGAGATTTGAAGACGGTAAAAAAATGGGGCCCTTCTAAAATTTAGTATAAAACTCATTTGTTTTGTTAAAACTTGATAAACTCGATGTTAACTCGTTTTTGTAAGGTATATAGCCAATGACAAATTTCTAATATAATGGGATTAAACTTGCGGGGGCTCAGGGACAGCGCCCACGATTTTTTTTAAGGATAAGTTGCATGAAGTAGCACTAAAACTAGTGAATATATATAAAAATAAATAACTAATACGTTGTAAATTTAATAATTAGGGGCCCCATAATTAGGAGAATCATAGATACTAGTAACAATCGTTGATTTATATCTATAAATGAATTAGGATTCTCAATAATTATATATATAATATAATTTTTTTTGGATAAATGCTAACATATATAAAAGGTATAAAAGAATTTGGAGGCCCTAAATTTTTAAAAATATCCGAGGGCCTTAGGCGACCGCCTACTTCGCCTCTCCTCAGAACCGGCCCTGTCTCTTTTCACTTTTAGCTAGTGATGTTCTTATTTTAAATCCACCAAAAACAAATAAATTCAAAACCTCTTTCAAATAGAAGAATTGCGTACATTTGAAAATAACCTTAAATTTATTTCTCGTTTTCACTTCTAGCGGTGCCTCCATATTTTATTTTCGATGTTAATCCTAAATTTTTAAGACTTGTAAATTATATATAATTTGAAGGTTGACATGGACAACTAACGATAAACATATATGTTATTTGTTTATAATAGTTTTGAGAATTTATGAATATGTCCCTATATTTTTTATATTACATATTTAAACGTTTCTCTCTTGGTCCTATATCGTTTTCTCCCCATGTCCGTTTAAAAAGAAAAAATGTCAACGCCGCAGCCGGCGGCCTTAGGCGGTGGCGGTCAAAGTTGGAATAAGGGTCAAAATTGATTAATTGATAAAATTGAGGTGTAAATCATGAAGTTGGAGTTGAATTAGGGTTTGAATGAATTTGGGGTAATTTAATATATATAAATAGGTTTTCCTTATTTGCAAAATAAATTTAAATGAACTGGATTTTTTTGGAACACAAAAAAGTTATATGTCCATTTTTTAATTAAGTGCTCTTGTCATAGGCCTATTTATCATTGTCCAAAAATTGATATTATATTCCATGGACAAATTACCGCCACTCCTAAGCCTAAGGTAAAGTAAAATTACGAAAAAAACTCATCATGCTTAGGTAATTACAACGACCCCCAGCTATGTATCTTCTTACACGTCTATCTTTATTAAATCTATCTACTGAAATAGGGGTTTTTCATAAGACAATACATATATAGTTGATGGAGTGGTTGTAATTACCCAACAAAATCAGTTTTTTCATAATAAGATCTTACCTAAAGGGTGACCATAATTTGACATATATTCAATGAATATGAATAGTAAACGATCCCTTTCAAGAAATTGTTCTTCGATCTAGGTGGTAGCTAGCGTTCTCGTTTTGTTTTTCTTCTTTTTCCTTTTATCGTCATCTCTATCAGACAAAAGGAAGCAAACATAAAAGCCAAATCATTGATTTCGTCACCAAATATAGAAACGATTTAAATGAAAACTACACCAAACACTCGTTCACCACACCCCCTCTAAAAACTTTTTTAATAAATAAATATGTAAACTCAATATATTATTAAATTCGACTTAGTAATTGTCGCTAAATAAATGGAACTTATTGGGAGTAGGAAAATTTTATGATATAAAAGATCCTACATTATCCTATATTATTGTGTCTTGTTGAGAAAATAAGATTGATTGAATAAAAAAAATAGCATTATTTTAAATTAAATTTTTAAAATTTAGAAAATTTAAAAAACCATTAAAGCTGTACATGTCTCATTGATTCAGTACAATCGGAAATCATATGAGAAAATTTATCATTTTGTTTTGTTACACAAGGATTTGAAATAGTATTATAGACAAAGTGAGTTTCAAATATACTTCAATGTCTAAAAGAATTGTTTCTGAATGAGTGAAAATCAGACAGATTCGTGGTACTTGTACTTTGGAAAATTTTGGGAAAAAAAGAAAATCGTACGTGAAATATTAATTCCAATCTTTTTTTAATTAAAAAATGGAAAGATCAACAGTCGGAATTTGTATTTTTTTTTTATCGAAATCAACGGAAATTGGACATTTCATTGTTTTTTTTCATCTACCTACAATTGATTTTGTACATTAATATTCGAAAAAAGTCCAAAAATATCCTTATATATATATTCATTTACGATCCAAAATGTGTTCGAAACAATCAAAAACCCAATTTTTTCGGAATCGGAAATAAAATAAATATTCTTACAAAATCAAAAATTTATGAATTTAAGTTGAATTGGGAAATTTGACTCCAATTTCCACAAGTCATATAATGACAGTTAAACCTCTATAAATTAATACAGTCGAGTCTACAAAATATTCTATAAATTTAGCAAAATATTAAATGATTGAACTTATAATTTAATACATTTTCACTGAGTCAGGACCAAAAGAAATTTTTATTTAAACAAACTTATTAATTTATCAGGTATTAATTTATGGAGATTATATTATATTGATTTTTCTCTGGAATAAGTAAATGTAGATCTGGCATAAGTGTAATTATACACCAAACATCTTCCCTTTGTCTTTTTGCCGAAAGCTCACAACACCACAACACCCAAGTTCTAGAAGTCTACGCGAGTCCTTATCATGTTTCCAAATATCATTTCACACTTGGCCAATTTTCCTTCACCAAAAAGCAAACGCAAATATTTCTGTAAACATTATTATGTATATATAATAGCGCTACAAATAGAAGTAACAAATTAAAGAAGAGGAAAAGAAGAGAAAAAAAAAAGAATGGAAGTTATATTAATACTATACAAAATAATTGGTGCTTGTTTAGCATTTGTGGTGTTGTTTTACACATGGAGAATACTGAACTGGGCTTACATCCGGCCGAAGAGGCTGGAAAAATCATTGAGGAAACAGGGCCTCATCGGAAATACGTACAACTTTCTGTATGGAGATTTGAAAGAGATGTTGAATATGATTAATCATGCCAAGTCTCACCCAATCAATCTCGACGATGATATCAAGCCCAGGGTTCTAGCTTTTATTCACAAAACCTTTCTAAAATATGGTATTTTTTATTTATTTATTTATTATTTTTTTTTTGTGGGGTCTTGTCTTTCGAGAATTTGTATAACGAACAAAAAAATTGAGGCTATTTGCCGAATTTTTAGAGTATTATCTGGTATTTGGATGTTTATTCATGATAATTTGGAGCAAGATGTTATTTATTATTAAGATAATTTGAATAACGATTAATATATGAATATGATTCGGTTGTGTAACATAATGTAACTTACAGGGAAGGGGTCGTTTATTTGGCTTGGGCCAAGACCTGCAGTTATGATCACCGAGCCGGAGCTTATTAAGGAGGTGATGACAAAGATTAATCTATACCAAAAGCCGAAGAATTCGAATCCACTGACGAAGCTGCTAGCACAAGGTGTTGTGGCATATGAGGGAGATAAATGGGCCAAACACAGAAAAATAATCAACCCTGCTTTCCATTTTGAAAAATTGAAGGTTTTGTATTATTTAATTCCTACCGAGATAAGTTTTCGGTTTTTTTTTTGTAATAATTATTGGGTATTTGTTGGAGCAGTTAATGATTCCGGCCTTCTATTTGAGTTGCGATGAAGTTTTGAACAAATGGGAGAAGAGCCTCTCCGGGAAAGGATCGGGTGAGGTGGATGTGTGGCCTTATCTCCAAAATTTATCGAGCGACGCGATATCGAGAACCGCATTTGGTAGCAGCTACAAAGAAGGACGAAAAGTATTCGAACTCCAGAGAGAACAGGCCGAGTACATTATCAAGGCTTCACAAACGATCTACATTCCGGGATGGAGGTTATTAAAATATCATACGATTATTTTAAAAAACAAAAAGAAATTATTTTTTGTTTTCTTGTCTGAAATGTGTGTATCTCTCAATGCGTAGATTTATGCCTACGAAAGGGAACAATAGAATGAAAGAGATCGAAAAGGAAGTACAATCGTCGATCCGCGGTATGATTAACAAAAGGGTTAAGGCGATGAAAGCAGGGGAAGCGAGCAACGAGGACTTGTTGGGCTTATTATTGGAGTCCAATTACAAAGAAATCGAGCAGTATGGTAACAAGAGCTTCGGTATGACAATCGATGAAGTGGTCGAAGAGTGCAAGCTGTTTTATTTCGCAGGGCAAGAGACGACTTCGGTGTTGCTTGTGTGGGCTTTGGTTTTACTTAGTCAATATCCCGAATGGCAGACGAAAGCTAGGGAAGAGGTTCTCCAATCCTTCGGTAATCAAATACCCGAATTCGATGGACTGAATCATCTCAAGATCGTAAGTATCGAGCCCGCATAGAGCGAAGGGGGCCATGGCCCCCCACCACATCTAAAAAAACCTCCTATTTTATTGCCTTCAATACCCTTTGTTTAGTTTAACTAGTCTAACAGCTAAAAAAGTCCCCCGTTGTATAAATATTAGCAAAGCCCGCCCTCTATGATTATTTTTTTTATAACTAACAACCTCCTAATTAAATAAAAAAAAATTCATTTAGGGGGTTGTATGCTAAAAAGAGTTGCATCATATGGGGTTTTTGCTAATATTTATAACATGAGGATTTTTTTAGCAATTTGATATAACAGAGGAGTAATAAATGCAATAAACTCAATTGACATAACTCTATTTAATATGTATATGGATTACAGGTTAACATGATCTTGTACGAGGTATTGAGGCTTTATCCACCGGTTGTTGCTCTCGGTCGAATTGTGAGTGAGGAAACCAAGCTCGGGAAATTAACACTGCCAGCTGGAGTTCAGGTATCGTTGCCGATTATTTTCTTACACCACAACCGTGAAATTTGGGGCGACGATGCAATGGAATTCAAGCCAGAGAGGTTTAGTGAAGGGGTGTCCAAAGCGCAAAAGGGACAAGGCATATTTTTCCCGTTCGGGTGGGGCCCACGAATATGCGTCGGGCAAACGTTTGCCATGCTGGAAGCAAAAGTTGCGCTTTCTATGATCCTTCAGCGCTTCTCTTTCGAGCTGTCGCCGTCGTACGCGCACGCTCCTCACACCGTCATAACGCTTCAGCCTCAGCACGGTGCCCACTTGCTTCTGCACAAGCTCTAAGAATACGTGGCATTGCAAATCGAATAAAGACGCCAAACTAAAGATTTTATTTTAATATAGTTATAGTTTGTGTGCAAATAAGTTATCAACTACTTACTTTTTCGAGCTTGCAGTGTATGTTGCAAAATTTGATGTTTCTTTCTTATGTTACAATGTCTTCCCTTCGAGGAACCCGAATTATCCTTTCGATCTTTTTGCCAATATTCTAATATCCATCACATTATGATTTACTCCGCCATAAATTACGTCTTCTTTTGTATTTTCTTATATATTTTGTAGTGCCATGGGTTGATTATCTATCGACATCATCGAGCTGGGATATGAAAAGATAGAAAAGGCGAAAAACTGTACGAAGTCTTGGAAAAAAAACATGTTGAAGATGGTGTTGTGGGAAAAGAGTGGATTAATTGGAAGAAGTAGACAACAATGAGGTTGATAATAAAGAGGTCTTCGTTTCAATCTTCGCGTTGGGTCTCTCGGAGACGGGTACCAGATAGGTTTATATTTATGGTAGTATTATTCTATTATGTTCAGATAGTTGTTCAGTGTAGCTTTTACACTCGATTTATGTTTTTTTAATGAGAATTTTAGTAGAATTTTATCGATTAAATGGTGTTTAATGACTTCGTTATTGTATTTTAGGTATAAATAGAAGATTCGAGCATTTAGAGGATGGAACGATAAAAAAAACAAGTCAAAATTGGACAAGAATGGAAGAAAACTAGCTGAAGGCCAAAAAAAAAAAGCTGAGACGGGCGTCTCAGGAATTACACATGATTCTCAGACAGCCGTTCCAAGTGGAAAAATCTAATAGAAGGTTGAGACGGTGAGAAAATGAACTAAGTCCGAGATTATACTCGAGCACGGTAAAGGAATTTTATTTGTACAAGGAATCTCTGACCCTTTTGTGCATTATATAAGAGCAAGACCTTGCATGAAAAGAACTTTTTGACCCTATCTTATAGCTAGAGGAGCAAGTAGACGGACGATCAAAGACGAACGACTTGACAAATATTCATCATAATTCCTCTTTTATTCTTTTTTTTGAATCTATACATTTTAATTTATTTTGTTGCTTCTCGTTTAAGAACATGAGTAGCTAAACCTTTTAATCTGGGATTTGTCAGAATTATGTGGTGATTTTGAACCTATTTCTTTTAACGTTATGCAAGTTTGATTTCTTGATTATTTCGTCTATTTGAATTTATTTAGTGAATGAATCTAGCTAATTTATGTTGCATTGTGTTATTATTAAAATTGAATCAATAGAGCGTAGTTTTTACCAGATTAGTATGTTAATTGCATGTGGTATCGTAGACATACATATGTGTAGGCCTGGTGGACTTTCTTCATCAAAAGCTTGATAGGGATGGCCCGGGTTCCACTTGGCGGTAGGGGTGTAAACAAGCCGAGTTTGGTTGTTTTGGCGAGCTCGAGCCCGAGCCTTTTCGTGTCTTTTATTTGATTTTATTAATATTATTAGATTTTTATTAGTATAAATTATAATAAAATTATTTGAAATAAAAAAAAATTACTTCTAATTTATTTTTTTTAATTATTTTTATGAATTTATTATTTATTTCATATTAATTAAATTTACATAAAAAACACAAAATAATTTAGAATAACAATAAAAGCTCGCGAGCCCACAAACAATTAAGAATGAGCTCAAGCTCAACTCTTTAGAAAGCTCGTGCTCGCGCCTCGAGCTCAAAAAATTTATCTTCTTGCCCATGGTATTGCGAATAACTCGGGTTAGGGATGTAATGAGGGCTACTCTTTGTCTTCGGATTTGGCTAGTAATGCCTAATAATATAGTAGTTGAGCTTTTCATAAAAAGAAAGAAAAGAAAAGAAAAGTTTCTAAAAATATGTATGAAAATATATGCAACAATAAAATTTTATCCGCAAACAACACTCCGGACTAGGGGTGGTTTTGGTACGGTTGCCAAATATTTTGATCGATACCGTGTACCTATCGAATCCTATGGTATTGAAAAATTAGATACCGTTATTGTACCAACAATTACGGTAGACCATTACTTTGAGTACGGTATATCGGTACGTGATACTCTACCATTAGTTTTAAATTGTTACACTTTGAATGATAATATAAATTATAATAAGATGATCTTCACGAAAACACAATAAAATGTTCTAACACTTTAATCGAGAACATTGGCTATGTATATGATCTTATTCAATTTCTCAAACCTCCCCCAATATTTATCAAACTTCAACTTCATTGATGTAGTCACACTTGCAATAATAGAGTTATGGATTTTATTTTCAACCTTAATTCGCAGCCCCATTATTCCAGTGAAAATCAAATGAGATGTACATTTTTTTGGTGCAATAAACTTCAATGGTGTCTCATAAAACCTTTATTTTAGGAATTGTATCTTAACTTTTTATGTTTTGACCTATTTACTTTATGTAGTAATTTTAAATTTTATTAATTATTAACCAATATAAAAGAAATATATATTAGTTAAATTATAAAATTCAAATTTGCGGTACGGTTGAAAATATAATATTGCTACCGTACCGTATAATAGTGTTACGGTACCAGTGCCGTACCAAGTGTAGTGGTAACCGAAGTTTCAATAAATTTTCAGTATTATTTGATAGGGTATATGTTGGGCTAAATACCTAACATGCAAGTGCACGTATCGCAAACAAGTAGTAAAAGTGGACTCGTGAGAGTCGGATGTCGATCCCACAGGGAATACTCAAATTACCTAATCCTAAGTACCAAATTCTAACAATTATGATTTTTATCCAGCCTACGCAATGTTGTCAAATTTAATCAACTAAATAAATTAAACTAATTATGAAAGCAAATAAACAAGAGATAATATCAATAAAAACGGATCTAGGATTTTATCTTCCCCCTATGCGATAATTCATCACCCATTTAACCTCTATCATGCAAGTTATGATTCCCGATTATTAACCCGAGACACTTAATTACTCATAACCCGCTGTCGCGTGTATTATGAGTCTATTATTCATAAACGATTCACTATATGTCTATGCAAACCAATTATGAATAAAGCATTAAATAACAAGTCTCGTAAACGGCTACCTAAGGTATTATCTGTATGTCTACGATAACACATGCAATTGACACACTCATCCGGTGAAAACTACTCGAAGGCTCTCCTATCCCTGTTCTAATTATTAAAACGATCTGTCAATCAATTCTAACAATAACATATACCAACATATATTAGCTACGTTCATGCGCTAAATAAGATCAAATAGAAGAAATAATCATGGAATTTAAACTTGCATAATATTAGAAAAATAGGTTCGAAACACCACATAGGGTTCCAACAAAATCCTAGATTAAAAGGTTTAGCTACTCGTAATTCTAATGATAAACAAAATAGAATAAATAAAATAAATAAGAAAAACTATGCTTGAGTCTTCGTTGATCTTCGTTCTCCGCGTTATGTGCTGTAAAATTTCGTGCTTATGCTGTAGAGACTTGTTGCTTTTATAGGCTTTTCTTGATAAAGAAGTAGTGGAAACTTAATAGGAATCAATTTCCGCCACTTTCCCCCATCAGGATTTTATTGTCGATTTGTGTCATGTTGGAGTCCGAATTTTGGAATGTTGTGTAAATAATAATTGTAGCCCTTGAAATTATATTTCCAATGCCGTCAAAATCACCTAATTCGGAGTTCGTATGAGAGAGATATGCTCGAAATGGTGGACACTGTCAAAGCTGTGGCGAGATTCCTTCTTCCAATTTGATTTATTTCCTTATTTGCAACTTTTTCCTTTCTTTTTGATCTTTTTTTCTTCATGGACACCTAATTCTCGTTTTCACCTATAAAACACAAAATCAATCAATTAAAGCACAAATATAATTAAATCTGAACAAAAGAGCCACGTATAGTAAACATATTGAGCGTAAAATCTACACTCAACAGTATACCATGGTATTCGGTAGGTGGTAATTATTTTCCAACCCTACTCCAGATTATACTATAAATTCATAACTAGCATCATTATATTCTCTTGTACATGTGCATCACACTAAAATTCCCACCTCCACAATAGACATAAGCTTATGCTTTGAAGAATCCACTGCCTCTTTCCTATCCCTAATATTTCATGTCTCATGTGCCATAATGCTCCTGAAACTGTGGATCACTTTTTCCTCCATTGTCCTTTTATTGAGCAGGTTTGGTTCATCTGGCCAAAATGAAAATTTAAGTATATTTCTAGGAATGCAAATTTTGCCCCCCTAACTTTAGATAAATGGGCCAGATCGTCTTTTTGTAATGGCTTTGTTGCCCCCTCTTTACTTCCTTTGTCTTGCTTATGTGATGGGTGGTATCCCATCATAGTCTCGAACATAATTTTTAAATTATGTTCAACGTTGCTTTGAATGGGATCCGAACTCGGGTTCCTCACACAAGAATGGCAATACGAACCACTGAGACAAGGCAAATATTTGCGAAATTACTTCCAACTACTATATATAACATAAACTAAAAGTGTAAATGATTATAATAAATAATGTTAAATAGATTATTAATCATCATATTCATTATTACTAAATAATTTTAATTATATTATTAACAAATATAATATACTAAAGAATTAAAATAAATTGAAAGGACTTGAGCTTAATCCATTTAAATCTTACGATTCAATTCAAATATTTGAATAAAATGTAAATGTAAAAAAATGATTAAATCATATGATCTACGATTTAATTCTTACGATTTTGACAAATTAAACCAATTATTAAAAGAGAAATCACATCATAATATTTTGATTCTACTCATCATATATAGTTTTATTATTAAATTAAGAAAATTAATTGGAATGGGATATAATCTATTTTTGTTGAAATAAATTTCATCTATATTTTTATTATAAATATGTTATTGTTCAATAATTATCTTATGATAAAATAATTAATAATTTTAATAAGTTCTTGTCAATAATTGAGGTTAATCAATTTAAATTAATTGAAATGAGTTATAATCTATTTTTTAAATAAAAATTTGATTTTATTTTTTATTCGAATTTTTCACACTATCGGTTTTAATAAGGTAAGTGAGTTTGTATTAAGTTAACGCATTTGTTTATATATTGAATTGATTCAATACTTGATATTTTTCAATAGTTGAGATTATATTGATATACGCACCAACCGCGGATTTTGCAGTTTCTCAACCCCGCGGTCATCGCCAACGTAGTTGTTGTCTCCATGTTTCGCA